ATTTTTACTTTCCATTAAGATCTAGGAAGGACAGGGAAACTCCTCTCCTCTCTCAGCACCACCTTCCTATATACAGCCCCGTTTAACCCTCTGAAAGCTAATCTGTTGGGGATTGCGGCTTCACGGGGATGGCTTCCTCTGGGCTTTTAAGGGCTTCATGTCTCTGTGCATTCTCCCAGGGGTAGGCCCACCTCGGACGGCCAGCAGCCCCACGGCAAACACCAACACCAGGTGGGATTAACCCTCGACTTTCTTCATATTCTGTGGCAAGGATCTTGCCCCCTTTCCCAACAACCCAGCCAAGCACCTTAGAAGATTTCTAAAAATTATTTCATCCACAATGTCTAATGTCCCTACTGGCCCTCTGTATTCAGAAGTGGAAGCCAGCATGCCCACTGTTTCCAGCATGTTCTTTGTAGTATGTAGAGTTTATTTTCTTCACTCGGGACTTAAAGCGTTTTCCTCAACGACAAGGTTTTACTTTTCTATGTAGAAAACAAAATGGTGAGGGATGCTTTTTCTTTCCCTTTCCCCTTTCTCCCATGCCCTGCTCCCCCAACAAGCAGGAAGGTGGAATCCTAGGATTTCTTCTCTCTTCACATCCACGGAGGACGTGCCCCTCGTGGCGTGACCGGGGAAGGCAGACACAGCTGTGGTGGCAATGGGCAATGTCAACGGGGTTTTGTCTGAAACAGTGGGGTTTGGGGGCAGGCACCACCCTCATAAAGCCTGGGGTCCTTGAGAGCTTCGGGGGCCAAAAAGGGACCCACTATCTCTGCCCCCAAGAACAAAAAAGGAAGGACAAAACCCCAAAGCGGAACAACGTTCAGAAATGCAATTGAGACATCAACCTCCCCTCCCTCTCCCCGTGAGGCATTTCATAAGAAAAGTAAAAGGCAACCGTCCCCGGGGGAGCCAGGACCTCCAGAGTGGGGGAGCCTCTGGCTTTTCAGAAGCTTTGGGGGCAGCTAAGGGAAAACAAAGTGGGGTCCTCAGGGAGACCAGGCAATGCTGTGGGGGCTCGTCTGTGGGCCTCCTAGTGTCATCTTGGGGAACTCCTCCCCCCCCCCCCCCCCCCCACAGCCCTCTGCTGCTCCCACACTGGCTATGGGTATTCTCATCTAAAGCCCTGGGGACAGGGGCTGTCTGCTCATCTCTGGATGTTTTGGGGGGAGGGGGGCCCAGGGGAGGGGCTGCTGAACGGAACCCAGTCCCACCCACGGTCTAGTCCGAGGGCTGCTGCCTTCATGCAGGCACCCTGGATTTTGCTCCACGACAGAGGGGCCATCAGGGTGGAGGCACTGGGAGGGGGACATGGGGAGGACTGTCAGGGTGTGGTGACCCCATGAGCCTCCCTGCCTGACCCCCAGGAAGCCTGTGGCCCGGGCAGCACGGGCACTGCCCGGATCTTGCTGCCCATGTGAATCTCCTGGGTCCCGCCCCTACCAACTCCACTTTTTCAAAAGGGGTGGAGCCTAGGGTTCTAGTTCAAAATTTTACAGGGGAGCCTGGGTGGCTCAGCTGCTTAAACATCCGACTTCGGCTCAGGTCATGATCTTACCATTCTTGAGTTTGGGGCCGGCACCAAGCTCTGTGCTGACAGCTCAGAGCCTGGAGCCTGCCTCGGATCCTCTGTCTCCCTCCCTCTCTGCCCCTCCCCCACTCACTTGCTCTCTTTCACAAAAAAATATAACAATAAAATATAAAATGATAATAAAATAAAATACATAAAAACAAAAATTTACAGGAAATCGCCAGAAGACAACATAGGGGAATCCTCATGTGATCTTGGGGGCAGGGCAGGGTTTTCTTAAAAAAGAAGGATGAGGGGCACCTGGGTGGCTCAGTCGGTTAAGCATCCGACTTCAGCTCAGGTCATGATCTCTCGGTTTAGGAGTTCAAGCCCTGCACTGGTCTCAGTGCTGACAGCTCAGAGCCTGGAGCCTGCTTCCAATTCTTTGTCTCCCTCTCTCTCCGCCCCTCCCCTGCTTGCACTTTGTCTCTCTCTCAAAAATAACCGTTAAAAAATAAATAAATAAAAAAGAAGAATCAACACATACAAAAAAATAAATGAATACAAGATCGGCAAACTGATTACAGCAACATTAACACTTAACTCCCATATAACAAGTGACTTTACAGGCCGGGCAAAACAGTCGCAAAATACCGCTAAGGGACAAATGATCTTGCAGTAAATGGTGAAGGAGTCCCAGGGGCCATTCAGAGACAGGAGAATGGGGGCAGCCAGTAAACACACAACAAGGTGCTCGACCTCACGACAACACAGGGAAAAATTTTTAAACAAGTCACCACCTTCTACCCATCGACGGGGAGGTGACAAGTGGCGAGGACACAGAAAAACTGACAAAGATTTCCCAAGAGCTCTAGGAGAACAAATTAACATAGACATTTTGAAAGGGCAAATTAGCATTCTTTATTTAAAGTGAAACTTTCACACCACATGACCTGGCAACTGGTATGTTCCCAAGAAAAACACACACGAGGGCCAAGAGGTATGAACAAGAATGGTGATGGCAGGATTTGGGTCTAGAGTGACCCAGATGTCCTACAACAAGGGAGAGCCTAAAACAAACAAACAAACAAACAAACAAAAAACCCACAAAAAACGTGCACGTTCATTCAGCGCAAAAACATGGCAACAACAAGGAACGACTCAGATTCCCGGCAATTTCAACACGGTCAAGTCTCAAGAACATACTGTTGACTGGAAAAAGCAAGCTGCAGCCTGACACACACAGTGTTAACGCAATTCGTGTAAAATTAAACCTCGCCAAGCCCTGCCGTGTATGTTCTATGGGTTCCAGCATGTGGGTGGTAAAAGAGAGAGTGTTAGGAAAACGTCTGGCAGGGTGCACAGTGATTGCCTTTTTGGAGGGGATGAGGTGGGATTAAGGGTGAGGGGGTCAAGGTCATTTTATGCTGTCTGTGGTAGCAAAGAGGAAAGTGAACCTCTTTCCACGTCCCTCCACAAGGGGCCTCGGGCCCTTCTGGGGTCCGCCAAGGGTTGGGAAGCAGCACCAGGCTGAGCTGTTGGCCCGGCGGCTCTGCCTGATCTGGAAGGCAGTGACAATCATCACGAACGGAGCGATGACAAGAAGCTGGGGTCTCTCCAACTGCCCCTCTGGGTACACAGGCATGCACATTTCCAAACCGACCGGAAGACGTGTGTGAGCCCGAGAAATCCGGTCAGGCATCGTCCTAGGCGGCCAGACCGAGAAGCACAAGGCTAGCCAGTGCCCCCAGCATGCTCAGGGCCACAGAACACGGTGGAGACCAAGTCTGCAACTGGGAAGAGACGGCACCCTACAGACACAGGGAGGAAGGATAGAGGTCTCCATCGCAGCCCAGGGCCCCGGAGGTGTGGCTTGCCTCCTGGTGGGGCCTCGCTCCAGGGAGACCGGACCGTCCCCCCTACTCCTGGTCACTCACTGCTTCTGTTCCCTTTCTTTGCCATTTTATTTGAAGATATTCAGAGGGTCCTTCTCTTTGCATAACACATTCCTGTGCTCCCACTGAAAAAGCTGTGACCTTCTTGACAGTGGATCATTAAGTCTCCCCTGTCCACCCCCTGCCAGAGGCAACCACCATCCCGGTTTATGGGCATCCACCCCCAGTGTGTTTCCAAGTGTGGCGACGCTCTCCCCGCCTTGTCTGTCACTCACAAAGGGGAGGGAGCACGGCACGTGCTCGGCCTCACGCTCCTGCCACGTACCCATGAGTTTCGGTGACACATTCGCACACAGGCCCGCCTCACTCCTGGTCACAGCCACGCTCTCTAATGACTCTCTGACCGAACAGCTCCCCAGCTGATGGTCATTTAGGTTGTTTATAAGCTTTGCGGCAACAGAGGAAGGAACCTCCTTGTCCGTATGTGCACGTGAGAGTAAATCCATAGCAGCAAAGGAGGGCCTATGCTTCCTTCTCTTGAAGGCACTCAAGTTTCACTAAAATAAATTTATTTAAAAAAGAAACACCATATCATTACCATGAGCAAAAAACCAGATTTATGATAAATAAATTGACTGTGAAACAGATTAACGAGACCCTTTTATTAAACTGTAGCCGAAAGCCTGCTCTTTGGATACAGACAGCCAAGAGTTCTACAAGTTCAAAGACAAACTAGAGCCAATCTGAGACCTCCCTGATACAATCGAAGGAACCAGAGGGGCAGTGAAATGGGTTTTCTTATGGACTGTTCCTTTTTTTTTTTTTTTTTAAGTTTATTTATTTCTCTGAGAGAAAGAGCACATGCATGAGTAGGGGAGGGGCAGAGAGAGGGGGGGGAGAGAGAGAGAGAGAGAGAGAGAGAGAGAAAGAGAGAGAGAGAGAATCCCAAGCAGGCTCCGTGCTGTCAGCTCAGAGCCTGACGCACGGGGCTTGAGCCCATGAACCATAGGATCCTAACCTCAGCCGAGATCAAGAGTTAGATGCTTAACTGACTGAGCCCCCAGGGGCTCCCTTATGGACCATTCTTTCCAGCAACAACCCCACCTTACACACTCTTCTTAGAGTGAGGCCTTGGCCCTCTTCCCACCAAGTGCTGGGGTCTATGTCCTTTCTCCTGGAACCTGGGTGGGCCTCTGCGACCGCCTGGACCGAAAGACAACAGTCGACGTGATCCCACGTGGTTTCCAAGGCAAGGTCTCCAAACGCTCTTGGAACCAACCTATCCACCATGCTCTGTGGAAGCCCAAGCAGTCACACGGACACCCCCAGACACAGAGCAAGACCCAGGCCCCAACTTGCCAGCCCCCGGGCTGATGCCACGTGGAGCGGAGTAGCACTGCTGAGCCCCGCTGGGCAAATCATAGACCTGTGAGCAACATGAGTGACCCTAGCTGTTGGAGGTGACCCAAGCCTTTCACTTCTAGGGTGGGCTGTTACTCAGCGGTGAAGAACTGCACGAGTGGTCACCGTGACGAACTGTAACCACGTGTGGAATCCAGGCACTCCCGAGACGCTGACTTCCTCCGGCGCCACCAAGAGACCGCACACCGTGTCCTGGAAGACTAATCTGGAGAAACAGCTCGGGGCTGGCCAAGAGGGATGCGGGGAAAGGTTCTGCAGGGCTTAGCAGCATGGACGGAAAGCAAGGCAGACATGTTCCTGCAGAAGGCGTCGAGGGAGAGGAGGAGAAACGGAACACGTGTGAAGGAGCCACCTTACCACGAAGCGCAGGATCAGTACGAGCATCTTGGGCTTGGGGCCGTGGGACCCGGCCTCAAATTCAAGCTCTGCCACTAACAACTATGTGACGCTAAAGCCACTTCCTTCCGTGGGTCCCAGGTTCCTCCCTTAGGAAATCGAGACCTAACCCTTGCAGGGCCGTCGAGGGGATGGGGGAGAGGCCCGGGGCCACTCCGCTCGCAGGGCCCGGCGCGCGTCACGGACACGGGCTGGGCGGCCTTCACCAGCCACGGCTGCTGCCTGGCGGCACCCTAGCTCTCGGGAGCCACGACTCTCTAGTCAGAGCCCTCCGGCCCGGGGCAAAGTCACACCTTCCGAATGGAGGCTCTAGACTAAGCGAGGCTGGAAGGACAAAATGATTCATGGTCTTGGGTTGTTTCTCAGAACTGCTACAGGCTCACGGGTAGGTGAGTGACAAGGGTCCCTGGCCTCTCTGAGGGCCCTCCCCCCACAATCCGTGGTTGTCCCTCTAACCTGTCACTCTCCATTGCATCTACCCAACTCACCCCCGACCATGCCCCAATGCCTGCCAATATCCCATCTACCCCCTCCCTCCTGGTTGAGGCCCGCTTCCTGTCTAGACATAAGAAGGCCCTAAGAAGGCAGGGCCCTGGCCAGTCTCTTCACTGCTGTGTACCCCCAGGAAGGTTCTGGGCAGTGGGAGGCACTGAAGAAGTCTTTGTCAACGAGATGGAGGGATGCCAGTGTCTTTTGGTCCTCCGGTTTGGAGGCAAAGGACTTCCCGACCAGCTGTCATTTCAGTTTCTGGGCTGAGGCCTCCCTCCACGGCTCCCCCTGACAGGCCGTGGCTCATTACTGAGCAATAAGTGGGGCTGATTGACTTTTGCTGTATTTAAATAATGCCTTCATGATAAAATATGGAAGCCAATACCGTAATTTAATTCTTGGCGTTGGTGGCTCCAAATGCATTTAGAAGCGAAGTCTTGATCCTTACGGTGGGATTTCTAGGCCGGCTGAATCCCAGCGCTTTGAAATCTAATACTCTGGGCTTTAGGGTCAATTCTTGGAACGCCACCACAGCTGGAGTTTAGATTAGCAACTCCGTATCACTACCAAGCCTCTCAGGCTCCTGCTGTTAACCAGAGGTCAGGACGGGTCCCCGGATTCCTTGAGGAAGGCAGGCCACCCTGGGATTCCTAGACACCAGGCCCATCGTGAGACTTTACAGCTGATAGGAGACCAGGATTTCTTGGTGCACAGAAAGCCACATGACTGCTTTCTCGAGGAATGCGGGGTCCAAGAGTGGCCTGGCTTTCTATTCTAGGATCTGTAGGCGTGCCTGGGATTGGAGAGGCTAAAATTAGTTAAAATGGGATTATGGACCCTCCCCGGAGTCAATGGCTCTGTCCAGTGGGAATCTGGTCCTCTACAATCGCATACGGAAAGACTGTCAGGGCTGGGGTTGAGGGTAGGGGACCCCTAGCGATGGCTGCTGGCCCCATGACAACGTGTGTGGAGGGCTCCTGTATAGATGCCGGGCACTGAGTTCCCACTTGACATACTCCCCAGGATCCTGTAAGGTGGGTTCACCACAGAGGACACAAACGCAGGACATCAAGTAACCTCCCAAGGACACATGACTGATAATGACACGTGCGATAAGAAGCCGGAGCAAACATGGGACCTTCCCACCATCCGGAACACACTGATTGTAACCCGGATCCCAGTCCTGTGGATGCGGCCAGAGAGAGGACCGACCCTCGTTTCCCTCAGAAAGGGGGTATCCCCAACCCGGGCTAGCTCCTGAGGAGGCAGGACGCTGGCTGGCTCTGGCAGGGGGACAGTCAGAGACCAGGGGTTCTGGTCTCCCGGTGGCTGACATCGCGGAGCCACCCACGTGCTCCAGGACCGTTCTCGCGAAGTTTCCCCTTCACCGGGCACTTGGTGGCCCCCTCAAGCGGCAGACCTGGGCCCTTCTCTAGGGGAAGGACAAAAAGCGCTTCTCTTTTACCCTGGAGGCTCCCCCTTCCTGCCACGGAAGGTAGACTCACGCTGGGCACTCATGCCGCCCCTCAGGCTCCGTTCAGGAGCAGGGATACGGTGGGAGCAAGGCAAGCCGAGCCCGGGGGCTCACGGGGTCTCCACACTCGCACACAGACGGCAACCCTCTGGAGCTGTCCGACGCTCTGAAAACTGGCCTGTGTGAGACACAGAAGGTGCTCTATGGCAGTGAATAAAGCTTTGGCAGGGGCTCCAGGGAAAGCCAGCCTGGCACGGCTCCCCGATGACAGAATGCAGCTGAGGGGAGAGGGCTTAACTGACCAGTAATGCATGGCTGGGAAGCGACTGATGACTCACCGGGCTCGGGCTGGCTCTCCGGGGGGCCTGGGGGAAAAGTTAGACGCAGGCCCCCCGGGGCGGTGCATCAGAAGCCCGGCGGGGAAGGGCGGTCCATCTCCCAGTATCACCACTCCGTCAACATGCACTACCAAAATGAAAATGACAGCCGCGCTGGGGCGTAAGAGATCACACACGCAAGTCCCGAGGGCTCTGAAAAGGGTGCCTCGTGCTGGGGGCAGACAGGCACCGGGCCCTGGTAAATTCTACAGACCCACCCTAGAAGAATGGTTTTACATGAGCAACCCCAGACCTTCCTGAGCCTGATTAATGCCAGGGGGAGACTCCAGGCAAGACCCGGGACATTCTGAAGTCAAAACAAGAATCAGAGTCAACTGTTTCCGCGTAGGGTGCGAACATGCACACTCAATTAGCTTGGCTGCTTCTCCTGACAGTCAGATCAATCCTTTGAAGAAAATTAAGTAACCATTTCTCCATCAACCCACGGACAGCTTATGGGTTATTTGCTCCAAGTAGCAATCAATTACTTTGTCTTCTTTGAAGCTCCCTAAAGCCTTCCTTCCCAGCACAGCTTGGGGGCAGCTGTAAAATGCTATGCTTCCTGGATGGAGAGCAGGTCTTGGAACAGGAAGTCAGGTCCCTTCAAGAACAAAGGGAAAAAAAATGTACCGGTGATGTTCCCCTGATGTGCAAAGGGATGGAGATATTAGGACAGGTGCCGGAATGCAGTCGCCCACGGAAACTGTGACCGAGCGCTGGCTCTAGATTTCCACCAGGTCAGCGGGGCTGCCCCAACGGCTGCCACGCTCACGACCTGGCCTTGGGCCCCCTCTCCACACACCCCTACCAAGAGCACCAAGAGGCAAGTGCCTGAAGCCCTGCTCAGATACCTCTGCGGTCTTGTGCTGCATTCCGACTCTGCCTCTCCCGTCACCACGGCTCTCGACGCGGGGGAGCCACGTGGGGACAGCCACGCGCCAGGCGTCGGGCGCTGCCCGCCTGGAGAGGAGGTGGAGCCCTGCCACTTCCTGGTTGCGGTGACCCTGGGCACGTGACCCGGGGCACACGGCGGCCTCATCTGTAGGCCAGGGTAATAAACCGACTTTATGGCTCCATTGGTGATGCGTGCGCTGATGTACTGAGGGAGAAGGGTACTGAGGCCTGCAATGTGTCACACGTTGAAACAAAGAAAAGAAGGAAAGCGGTGGTGGATGGAGAAGCAGATACGCGATCAAACGTGTGGAGCGGAAGGGTGGTGGGAGAACCGTTCGGTGTCACCTATCACGGCAAGGCCGTCGGCCGTACGACTGGTTCAAGTCGGCGGCGTGCTGGACTGTTTTCAGAATAAAATGCCGGGGGCTGAACGGACCTGCTCGGGTGGTCAGGGAAGTCACACAAGCACATAGCGGCGTCGGGACACGGGGCTGGGCGATCAACGGTGCCTACGATGTGATTCTTCACCGACCCCCTGTGTATCACACTTTATGCGGTTACTGTAACTAGTCACCCACAGCGCTCTTTCTAGTGATCCCTGACCTTGCAGAATCTTACCATCACCCCGTGGACTCCGGGGCCACCAAGGACATGACGTCCGTCCTGACTGTGTTGATATGAGGGGGTGGGTCTGTCATGTGTTCATTCAGCGATTACTCAAGCAACGATGTGTCGATGTCTTGGTGACTGTAAATGACCCCAGAGCAACAGCCAACTGGAAGGAAGGCACTGGTGCCTTTTCAGACAGGGAAGCCTGAGGCGTGGGGAGGCCGGCTGTCCTAGGTGCCCACAGGCTGGGGACAGTCCTGGGCTGGGGCTCAGCTCCATCTGCTTCCAGAGGAGGGGTTTTCCATGGCCACTTCCTTTCTCTTGCTTGAAAAGCACACGCCATGTCTAGTAAAATAACGTGACCTATTTTCACAAGATAGCCAAAGAAAACCCATCACATGTCTTCATCTTTCCCCCTTGAGAATTTCAAGAGACTTTCTTCTTGGGAGAACAAAAAGGGAGTAATCTGACTTTTCTTGTTCCCTCTCGTCTAGACGTGAGTGTGGGGGGGTGGGGGGTGGGGAGCTCCCTCTGACTGCTCGAGACATCAGGAGGACTTTTTTTGTTGTTGCAACTTGCAAAAAGCCTTATTCCCTGTTCCTTCTTTGTACTAAACCAAGTTCACAGACAGACAACTTGGTGAAAACGTAATTCCCAGAAACAGAATCCAAATGAGCAGCAATTCCAAGTAGAGCGTGGCACATCCTCTTTCTTATCAAGAGTGACACAGGGGCTGCCACCAGAGGCACCGCGATCTGATCGTTATAATGCACTGGCGACCACACTTATCTCCCAGAATGCCACATTTGCATGGCACACTGCATAATTTCCTCTCTGAAAATGGCCCTGTTTAGCACGAGTAAATACAGTTACCTAACTCTGAGGCAGCCGAATGGAATACTTGAGATTTCCAAGAAAAGATTTGAATACCTAAGCTCTCCGCTGCGCACCGAGAGACAGACGAACACAGAGCCGACTTGCAGCTTTCGGTATGGCTCCCTCTGGCCTGCTACCACTCGGCAGCCTAGGAGTTGATGCAGAAGCCCCAGTGCCCCTCCCCCCACCCCGTGATTCCTCTGCTCTGGGCCCCCCCACCCCCACCCCAGGATGTGGTCAGGCTGACCTGGGCTCGGATCAAGGCTCTGCCTCTCCCTTGTTCTGTTCCTCCACCTGGTCTTTGCCCGGTGGCTCCTAGATGCCAGGCACCGGGTGACATAACTCTTATGCAGTGAAGGAGGAGGTAGACACGTCCTTGCTCTGGGTGACCTTTCTGAGCCCCAGGTGTTTTCCCCTCATCTGAAGAATGGATTCACCACTTGCTTCACAGCGGCTCTGTGAGGAGCAGAGGAGATGAGGTACAGAAAAATCCTGCGATTTCTCTCCACGAGCATGATTGTGTGGGCACATCTTTCTCCCTTCAGATAGAAGGTTCTCGGAGACAGGGTCAAATCTTCTCTTTCCCCTGACAGTTCATCAGAAAAGTGCACAAGGGTATTCTGGTGAGCAGATCCTGACCCAAGGGACTGTCCCTCCCTGGGCTAGGGAGAGTCCTCCTGACATGGAATATGAGCTAGAGCATTTTCCCCAAAACCTGTGGGGTTTATACTGTTAATACCACTAGAAAAGGCATCTGTGGGGCATCTGTGCACCCACGGGTGCTGACTAGAATTCAGAGAACTCCTCTGGTCCATGGCTCTGAGTTTGATTTTCGAGGCCCTTCCTGGGTGGGGGATGTTCTCTCTTGCTAAGGGTCGACCCAGACCCTGGATGCAACCAGGCCAGCTGTGGAAGAAGAAAATGGCTTCGTAGCTGGAACCATTGACACCCGCTTTTCCCTTCACTGTCTCAGACTTTCCATTCAAACATTTCTGGGGCATGTTTCCTTGGTGCTAGACCCTGTGCTTGACCAAGCAGGCCACAGAGATACACAAGACCTGCCCCCTCAGGAGCTCCTGCTCACTTGGGGAGACCAAGCAAGTAACAATTGCATAGAATTTGACAAAGGCCATGGCAGGGGGGGGAAAAGGCCAGAAGAGGAATCAGGGAAGGCTTCCTGCAGGAGGTGACATTTTGAACCGCATTCTCCAAGAAGCCCAGACACCGGCCGGAACCGAGCTGAGGCCCCTCTCCGGAGGGCTGGCCGGCTCCTCAGATACTTTCTGACCCTTCCTGGCCCTGCACAGGCTTCCCGGTTTCTGCTAATCCTTTGGGGTTTCCAGGCTCTGCGTTATTTTGGCTGGAATGGCCCGCATTCCCTTGCCTACCACTTGGGTCCTCCCTCCACATCTGTCCCTTCTCTGGACGCTTCCTAGCATCCTAGAACAGCACAGCCTCACGGCGAGGAGCACGGGTGGGGGACCCCGGCACGCTGCTGCCTACCCTCGGGTCCTCCGGTCTCTCACCCGGCAAGCAGGGTGGGAACGGCACTCTCCCGGAAGGGCTGCCATGAGCACTAAGGATACCCGTCCGGGGCTAGAAGAGCCCCCCGCACTCGGGAACCATACGATTGTTCCGAGTTCAGAGCAGCGAGCGCGGGCGGGGGTTGGTGAGGACAGAGGGGTGGGAGCAAGGAGAATCCCAGCAGGGCACTTAGGAGGCTTCGGGGCCTCAGTGGAGGCAACTGACCTTTCTGGGTGGGGCCTGAGTTTCCTTCTCCCTCAAATGAAGAGACGGGGACTAAACCGCACGGCTCTTTTCTGATGGGAAAGAAGGTCTAAATTTCACACCAGGGGACACATTTACGGCCGTTTGGCAGAAATTAGTTCACAGAGTGAATGCTTACCGGCAGAGCAGTCTGATTTTTAATTAGCTTGTGGGAATTCCGTATACATCAAACATTAAAGTAAAATATGGGAGGCCTCTGGTGGAGACAAGCCATACCTTGGGGCTTAAACAAAAGCTGTATACTTCACACACCAAACTGCCTGCTTTATGCTTTTAATCGCTCGTGCTCAAACTGAGTATCAGTAAAACGTTTGGCCCTAGGACAACACTTCCAAGGCACGGGATTTAAAGGGATACGGTTACTGCGAAACCAAGTCTGATCAGCCCAACTCTGTATCATCCCACGCACCCAATCACCTGGGCATCTTTACATCATTAAGCTGTTTTGAGCCAAATAAGAATCGAGAATCTCAACTATTTTTCCCTCCGAGGTTTTCTTC